GGGAGACTCCGGTCAATGAGGTCCCTTTCTTCCATGACTTGCCTGTAATTCTCTGCGATGTTCATCATCAATTCATTCTCTGGCTTCTGAAGAATTTCTGTAAAGAGGAAACATCACATCATCGGTGCTGCACTTCTGGGCACACCCTTTGACACTATTGTTGTTCACCTGTAACCTACTTACACTGGCCCCTGCCAAATCCACTGTCCTTGCCCCAGCCAGAGCCACCAGCTCACCCTCCCACCACATCCACAGCCACTAGCACGTGTGGGAGCTCTGAGAACATGGAATTAGACTGCAATGGCAATAGGATTAACCCTGGTAGGTGATGACCACTGCAGTTTGGTGTGGGGACATCAAACTCCCTCACCTACACGCAGAATTTTACAGAAGGAGGCCTCTGCAGCTTTGTCTCACCTCCTAGGTGTTTCTCCTGCTTTTTCCTGATTGCCATATGATGGCTCCAGTTCTGGAGAGCTCTGTGCCCTGCTAGTTGGGCCTGAGGAGCCTTTTTCTTCTTCTCTCCTCCATGTTTCTCTTTCAAAGCTGCTGCAGTAACATCCGGACGAGGTACCTCAATAACATCTGCTGTCTGATGAGAAAGGAAACACTAAATGAACCTCTTCATGCACACCAAAACAAGAATGGGAGAGGGCAGGAGAAAAGAATTATTCAGATTGGCTGTACTTTTACATTAGCACTCTAAGAGGAACAAAAGCAGGGCAGTAGGAACACACTCAGAGACAACGGAATGATTTATCTGAGTAATTAGACTCCAGCAATGCCATTGCTGCAACACCAGCTCTTCCCTGATGCCAACAGAAGAGCACAGAGGGAAGAGGAAGCCTGTGTAATTGCTCCCTCCATGACCTGGTCCTGCACACAGCACTCCAAAACCTGCTGGTGCAGTTTCTCTGATGGCAAACCCTCCCTGCAGAGTGTGACGAGGCTGGGAAAACCACACCTCAGGTCTGACCTGCTCCTGATAGGTGCTGGAAAGCATCGAAAGGTACTGCTGGCACCACGCTCCACCTCTGGAAAAGTGCCACACAGCAGCATTTTCCTAACTTTACAAACCAACCCGAGCGCTTCTTCTGGCCCAGACTTCCATCTTAAACTCCTGGACACTTCCCAAAATGTGATGAGGGAGAATCTCTTCGCAGCCATCAGCAAACTCTTTTGGTCCTACGACACACACACACACAAAAATACCCAGCCCCAGATCACTAAAGTTTGGCTTAGCAAAACCAAAATCCAGAGATAAGATGTGAAGTTGAACCCTACCAGGAAAAGTCAGTGGTTGCCTGGGTGCCCTGGGGGAAGCGGGATGTGCTACAAGATGTGTCACCTCCTTGGGTCGGTATTTTCGAACGAGGTAATTCCTCCTAACTGGAATTCTCCCAGCATCATGGGGAAGGCGTGGAGCATGAACCTGCAGGAAATAAACAGTAACAGTGCAGTTAGGTACACACTGACTCACCTTTAATCCATCTGATGCTTTTAGGATATGCAGAGGTCATATCAGTACAGTCACTGTAAGAGTCCTGGAAAGGGACTTTTCACAAGGGCCTGGAGTGACATGACAAGGTGGAACGGATTCAAACTAAAGGATTAGGTTTAGATTAGATATTAGGAAGAAATCCTTCCCTGTGAGGGTGGTGAGGCCCTGGCACAGGTTGCCCAGACAAGCTGTGGCTGCCCCATCCCTGGAAGTGTCCAAGACCAAGTTGGACGGGGCTTGGAGCAAACTGGGATAGTGGAAGGTGTCCCTTCCCATGGCAGGGGGGTGGAATGAGATGATCTTTAAGGTCCCCGCCAACCCAAACCACTCTATGATTCTCTGATTCCTCCCCTATGAGGCACATTATGCAGCTGCAGAGACACCAGCTCAGTTGCTGTCTCATTCCTCTGAACTCTGGTTTATAAGAGGGGCAGGGAGAGTTTTAAATCACTTTCCCAAAAGATTTCTGCTGCTGTGTCACTCGATGTCAAATGCTTCCACTCACACACTGTGACTCAAGTTTTGGAAGGAAAGCCATGAAAACTACTAAACAACTTACAGGTCTTATGAGACCATGAAGTTGGAGAGGCAGATGATTTATCCTTCCAGTTGAAAGTACTGTGTAAAGACTGATAATTCTTTATTTTTTGCCATTGCACCTAATGATGTGACATTTTATCATGATAAAGAGCATGACAGACAAAATGGAGTAAGAACTCAACTGCAAGAGTGAGTTTTGGCTTAAGTAAATGGGCTGAACCCTCTGTTAAACACATAAAAAGAGTATATCAGTTAAGGCAGCTTTTTCTACCAGTAGAAATACTCATACATACTTTCTCCAGGTCCTCCACCTTAATTGCAAGTGCCTGGATATCCTCTCCTTGCAGAACATTTGGATCAGGCTTGGGCTCAGGCTCAGGCTCGGGCTCAGGCTCTTCTGAAATTGTTGTACTGGGCCGTTCAGAGGTCTTTTCCTTCTTGCCTGAAAAATACATGAAGAGACCTCCTCTTCAGTCTCCCAAGGAAACACCATCTTCCTCTTTCAGCCTGGTTAATCATTTCCAGCTGACCACGTTTGGTTTTGGTTTTGTGGTTTTTTTCTTAAGGTTTCACAGAACAACTGAATTCAGCATCTTTTGTAATTGGAAAAATCAAACTCTCAGAAGCAGCAAGGACCAAAGTGGGTCAAGCAGGATTCAACTGTCTCACCCTTTATTCCAGATGAGATAAATACAGATAAATAGAGCTCCCTGCAGGAGGAACAACAAATTCCTGGGAAGCTTCCTGTTCCAGCTGCTAGTGCAAGGATACAGCCTCCCCGCAGTCACCCAGCACAACAAACCACTGGATTTCCAGAAGCTCCTGAATAGCAAAACAGCTCTGAAATAGCCAAACCCGGGCAGAGCCGAGCCGGGCCGGGCCAAGCCGAGGGGACCGCACTGGGGGCTGTTCCCCCCCTTAACCTGCGCGTCCCTCCCGCTGGGCTCATTTAAAAAACCCAAACTATAAGAATAACGACACGGGGGCCCCTGGGTGGGAAGGGGCTGTTTGTGGCGGCTCCACCCCGGGCCTCGCTGAGGCCGCAGGCCCGGCCCGGCCCGGCCGCCGCTGCCCAGGCGCGCTCCGCGCCGGCCGTACCCGGGGGGCTCCGGTTCTGGGGCCGACTGCCTCGCTGCGACGCCATGTCCTGCCGACCCCCCGGCACCGACCCCGGCACCGACCCCGGCACCGACAGAGCCCGCGGGTCGCGACAGGGCCCGACAAGTCCCGGAGCCCCCGCGAGGCACCGCCCCCTGCCGGCGCACCGCGGCACCGCCCCGCGCGACCCCTGCCGGCACGCATGCGCCGTGCGGCCGCGGCACGGCCGGGACACCGAGGGACACCGGGAAACACCGGGATACCGGGACACATCGGGATACACCGGGATACCGGGACACACCGGGATACCGGGACACACCGGGAAACACCGGGATACCGGGACACATAGGGATACTGACACTGCGGGATACCGGGACACACCAGGATACTGACACTGAGGGATACCGGGATACACCGGGATACCGGGACACACTGGGATACACCAGGATACCGGGACACACCGGGATACACCAGGATACCGGGACACACCGGGATACCGGCACTGAGGGATACCGGGACAAGTCGGGATACCGGGACACACCGGGATACAAGGACTGTGGAATACACTGGGACACCAGGATACACCGGGACATACCAGGATACCGGGACTGCGGGATAGTGGGACACCAGGACATACCAGGATACTGGGACACCCAGACACACTGGGACATGCCAGGATACCTGGACACCGGGTCTCCAGGATACTGGGGCACCAGGACTCAGGGACACAGACATACTGGGGCTCTGGGACACTGGGAGACCGGGGACACCAGGACATCAGGCTCCAGGACGCCGGGGACACCAGGGCTCTGGGACACCGGGCACTGGGACATCGGGGTGCTAGGCCACTGAGGACACTGGGACCTGCTCTGCAGGAAGCCCCCCTGGATGATGCCGCTGCCCCAAGACCCCTCAGCCAGCACACAGATCTTGTGTTTTATTATCCGTTGTTGCCGTTCACAGACCCCACGTTCTGGCCACCGTGTCCATCTGTGTCCGTCCCCCACTGGGTTCCCCCTTGGTGGGCACCAGGCAGTGTCCAGCGCCGCTGGAGCTGGCACAGCAGGTCTGGCAGCAGCGAGTCCAGCACGGCCAGGCCGGCCCAGGTGCACCGCAGGCCACTGGGGGAGAGGCAGGGGTGAGCTCCAGGGCACAGGGGGAGACCCCCCTGCTCCCCACATGGGTTCCTGGGGCTCACCTGCTGTCCAGGAGCAGCCAGCCCTGCTCCTGCAGCGCCCGAGCCTCCCCCGGCACCCCGAACACGGCCTGCAAGCTGAGCTGGGGGGAGAAGTGCCCCCAGTGCTGTATGCCCAGGGCAAGAGAGGGGCATTAGTGATGGGGCATCAGTGATGGGTCACTAGTGATGGCTCATCAGCATCCCACTGCCCCGAGTGGTCTCCAGTAGAGCTGGAGAGGGACTTTGGACAAGGGCCTGGAGTGACAGGACAAGGGGGAAAGGATTCAAACTGGAGGGTAGTTTTACTTCAGATATTAGGAAGAAATTCTTCCCTGTGAGGCCCTGGCACAGGTTGCCCAGAGAAGCTGTGGCTGCCCCATCCCTGGAAGTGCTCAAAGCCAGGTTGGATGGGTCTTGGAGCAACTTGGTGTTGTGGAAGGTGTCCCTTCCCATGGCAGGGGGTGGAATAAGATGGTCTTTAAGGTCCCTCCCAACCCAAACTATTCCATGATTCTATGATTAGTGGTAGGTTGATGTGGGGGACCCCCACGGGTGGCTCCTCACCTCGTGTGTGACACCCTCATCTGTGCGTAGTCCCAGGGTGAGCACCTCCTCCAGCCTGTGGGGACACGGAAAGCTGTGGGGCAGCACGGACGGGGAGGGAGCATGGGGGGACCCTGGTACTCACTGCTCCAGTGGGCTCAGCACCACCCGACTCCTGGTGCCATGTCCCTGGCTCTGCACTTCCCGCATCCAGGCAACAGGCTCTGGCGTCTGGACACGGGCTTCCCGGCTGCAGCCGCCCTCACCCCGTGGCATGAAGCGCCCGTGCGCTCCTGCAGCAGTGAGGGAGGGGGACAACAGAGTTCAGGGGGCACATGGCCACACACACATGCCCCTGGCTCCCTGTCACCCCCTTACCTGGCCCCACACCGATGTACTGGTCAGCCCGCCAGTACGAGAGGTTGTGGTTGCTGAGGGCACCCTGAGGGGAGAGCGTGGCATGGGGTGAGATGGGGCTGAGCCTGCTTGGGGAACAGCATGGCACAGTGGGGACACGGCATGGGGGGTACCCCACCTTGCGTGCAAAATTGGAGACCTCATAGTGGCGGAAGCCGGCGGCCATCAGCACAGTGCGGGCTGTCTGGTACATGTCGGCCAGCAGGTCCTGGGGGGGTAAGGGCAGGGTCCCCCCCCGGACCTGTGCCGCCAGTGCTGTGCCCCGCTCCAGCGTCAGCTGGTACAGGGAGATGTGGTCGTCGCAGAGCCCCAGCGCTGCCTCCAGCCCCTGGGCCCAGGCATCCCGGCTCTGCCCTGGCAGCCCGAACATGAGGTCGATGGAGGTGCGGCCGGGGAAGAGCCCCCGCGCTGCCTCCACGGCCTTCCGCGCCTCCGCCGCTGTGTGCTCCCGGCCCAGCAGCTGCAGCTCGGCGTCGTCCAGCGACTGTGGAGGGAGTGTGGTCACAGTGGGGTCACGGGGGGCTGCAGGGCCGTGAGGGAGAGCCCCTCTCACCTGGACGCCGATGGAGAGGCGGTTGACGCCGGCCGCCCTGAAGCCGGTGAGCCGTGATGTGTCCGTGGAGCTGGGGTTGGCCTCCAGCGTGACCTCGGCACTGGTGGGCAGATGGGCAGCCCCCGCCACGGCCTCCAGCACCGCCGCAATGGTGCGAGGGCTGGCCAGGCTGGGGGTGCCACCACCGAAGAACACAGAGGTGATGCTGTAGGGCAGAGGTGGGGAGTTACAGGTGGGCACTGGAGGGCCCCGTACCCTGCCATGAGCCCCTCTGTGCACCCACCTGTGCACCTGGCTGAGGCGCAGCAGGGTGCGTGCCTCCCGCACCAGGCAGGCGCGCACGGCCGCCTCATCCACCGCCGGCACCACGTACGTGTTGAAGTTGCAGTAGGAGCAGCGCTTGCGGCAGTAGGGCCACTATGGGCACACAGGGGGTGTGGGGGACGGCCATGCCCCCACCCCCAGGCACCCCACTTTGAGGGGGGACAGCCCTAGCCCAGTGCATGGGCCCCAGTGCCCCTGACAAGGCACACGACCCACAGGTGTGACTCTTCATGTGCACGGCTCAGGGACCCCCACAGCAACCTGCACCAGCACATGGCTGGGGAGTCCCACCTGTGCCCCATGACACTGCAAGGCCACGCTGCCCCACCACGCGTGCAAGCCCCGGGGTCCCCAGCGTCCCATACACACCCACATGTATGCAAGCCCCAAGCCCTCACATTCACCCTCCACCAGTGCAAGCCCCGAGGTCTCATGTGTCCCCCCACGCGTGCAAGCCCCAGGACCCACGTGCATCCCCACGTGTACAAACCCGGGGTCCCTCGGTATCCCCTTGTGTGTGAACTCGCGGTCCCCGCACACCCCGGCGTGTGGAAGCCCCTGGGTCCCCGTACACCGTCCTGTGTGTGAACACAGGGGTCCCTCTCCCCACGCGTACAAGCCCCAGGACCCACATGCACCCCCACGAGTGCAAGCCCGGGGTCCCCTCATACAACAAGCCCCGGTGTCCCCGTGTCCCACCCCGTGTCCCCGCTCACGTGCACGTAGAGCGCGGCTGTGGCGGGGGCGGCCGGTGCTGGGACCGGCTGCGGGGCCGGTTCCGCGGCAGGACCCGGTCCCGCGGCAGGACCCGGTCCCGGTCCCCGTCCCGGGCCGCCCCCGCCAGGCCGCGCCGCAGCGACCGCCACGGCCGCCCTTCGGCACCCCCGCACCGCCGCCATGGGGCCCGCGGGCCGCGGCACCGCCCGCCCCGGGCGGGCACCGAGCGGGGCCGCCCCCGGCTGCGCGGGGCCGGGGCGGAGCGAGGGGGAAGGGGAGGGATCGGGAGTGAACCTCTGCGCTCCTAACGGGGCCCTACAGGGGATGCTCGGTGTGAGTGACGGGGATGCCGGGGTCGGTGTCCTCTCCCGGTACCAGGGATGCCGGGACAGTGTTCTCCCCCGGCACCAGGAGTATCGGGGGATGCCAGGGCCGGCGTCTTCTCCCGGTGCCGGGGGTGCCGGGGTCAGTGTCCTCTCGCGGTGTCATCCCCGGACACACGGTCCCGACGAGGCTGGGGCATTCCGCAACCTGCCCCCGCATCCTCCCCCGGCTGCTCCACGGGGCCGGGAAGGGTTTTCCAGCGTTTTGGCGGAGGGAGCCGTTGCTTGTCCCCACGCAAGGTTGTGCAAACCCACTGCTGACGAATCCCAACGTTATTAGTTCTTAATTTGCTCTATTAATAGCCACGGGGAAGTCCGAAATGCAGATTCCCTTTTCGCGGCCAGGAACGGGTAGTTTTGTGTAACCCACCCCTGACGTAACCTTTCCGGCTGCCTGGAGTTCCCCAGAAGGCAGCGAGGGCTATAAGAGCAGGACCCAGGCATGGTAAGGGCAGAAAGCCATGGATGCTGCCTGGAGCCCTGCACACACCGAGCCCATACTGCCAGGCATGATGGACAGCTCTTCCTGTACGGTGAGTATTTACAGCCGGGGCTGCATCGTCCCAGAGGCTGGAATGGCCATGGGACATCTCGGCAGGTGTCCTGGCTGGCGAGGGCTAGATGGGCCCCAGGGAAGGGATGGGGATGGTAGGGAAAGCTTCCCCAGCACCAGGCTCTGCTGGGGCTCAGACCTCTGGTTGATGTTGCACCACTCCTGGGACAGAAATGGAACTGTGGGGTGCAGGGATGGGGTGGCAGGGGCTGTACCCACTGTGCTGGCTGTGACTGGGGCTCACTGTGTTTCTCAGCAGTGTGCCTGCCCTCACCAGCCACGGCTGACACCACCTTCATTTCTTACCCACTGCCCCCAAACTACAGTGAGCACGTGAGGCACCTCTGGGCAGCTCAGGGGTTGTGCCAAGGGTGGAGTTACCAAACAGGGATGGGAGGAGGCCTGTCCTGCACCTGGGTTAGTGCTGTGGGAAGCAAAGGAAGGTAAAAAGTCCTTCCCTAGACACCAATCACAGGGATCCACTGCATCCCCAAGGTCGCTGGCTGCAGTTGCTGTCATAGAGGTAACAGTTCCTCCCTCAGGAAGGAATGTTACAAGAGTCCTAAAACCAGGGGAGGGAGGAGACCTGAGTGAAATGTGGAGGATCAGTGCTGACACCAGCCCCACGAGCAGTTTGGGATCAGGGGAGGAACTTACTGGAAAGACACTGAATAGAAAGGGTCTGACACAAATCATCCATGCTTTTTTCTTTCAGGTAGCAGATACGAGCAGTGGACTTGTCCACTCGGTCTGCTTCCATGGGTAGAGCCCACAGTCCAGCTGGGAGACAAAGGATTGAGACCTCGCTGAGGCTTCCCCCTCTCTCCCCGTTGCATCATTTCCCTCCACCCACTGGAGGAAGCTGCAGCACGGAGGAGGCCCAACCTTAGCCCTGCTCGGGAAGGAAGCAGGAGGGAGACAGCCTTGGCGAGAGTTGTCAGCAACATTATCTGCTTTCCAGTTGGGGTGGGACACTTCTGCTGGCAAGGAAGAGGAGCTCTGCTCTTCCCCTTCTCGCAGGAGTGTTTCATGGTTGGGAGGTACCAAATAACTCCCGTAAAATGCTGTCCCAGGTGTGCTGTGCTTCGCACTGCCAACAGGACAGGAATTTTGGTATTTCTGCAAAAACCTTACTGTCTGTCTTGTCCAAAACAACAAAATAAACCATGCCAAGTCTACTTCAGAGAATTTTTTGTGGGGGAAACACCTGGGGGAGGTGTGGGAACAGGGTAAGCTTTTCCAGCCAGCTTTAGGGAGCCCCTTCCCATGCAAAGTTTCATTCTCTGAACCCCCTGCCCTTCATTTCAAGTTCAGTAGCTGTTATATGACCCAGGAGTCTCACAACACCCAAGCAGAGAAGGCATCACCCACCCTGGGAAGCCAGACCAGGGTGTTAGGACTTAAAAAATGTCAGTGAAATACCTACTAGCATCTGTTCAACTCCTCTGAAATGGCTGCAGCCAAACTGCTCAGAGACACACAAGATTTTTAAATCTTCATAAGGTCTTTCAGTAACCGGACAGAATTCCAGAAATATGCATCCCTTCCTCACACCACAGTATTTGTCCTGGCAAAGAAACAAACCCAACTGGGAAAAAAAGGCGCTCTGTTTTATTGACTAAAAGTGCCATCAGCCTGATGTCAGGGAGGGAAGGTCTCCACTGCGTAGCCCAAGGCACAGGTGAAAAGCAGACTGAGAGCTGCTGGTCCTCCAGTTGATTTATCCCAGTTTTTGCTCTGCCTTCCCAATCTCACAGCTGAAGGAGCTTCTCCATCTGCTCCCTCAACTTGTATTTCTGAATCTGGAATAAAGGGCAGAGAGGAAGAGGAAGAGACACTCGGGCAGCAGCTGGGATAGGAGGCCAGAGCTCCTCCCCTACCCCCGTCCCCTCTTACCTTGCCTGAGACAGTGAGTGGGTACTGGCTCACAAACACAAAATAACGTGGGATCTTGAAATGGGAAATCTGGGAAGAGAAAAACAATGGCTACACAACCCCTCAGGAACAGCACAGCCAGCCCAGCTGGCACTGCCAGGGCTGGGTCCCCCAATGCTCTAAATCCATGGGTTTTCATCTGCCAGTCCCCAGCAGCCACTGGGTGTACTGGTCTGTCAGGGAACTGAGAATGGGAGACCCACCTTCCCTTTGCAGAAAGCCTTCAGCTCTTCCTCAGTGCAGTCCTGCCCAGCCCTCAGTCGGACGCAGGCACAGACCTCTTCTCCCATCCTCGAATCCTTCACACCAACCACCTGGTTGGGACAGATGGACAGTGTGACCCCTGGGGACAGCCCTGTCCTCTGGCAGGGTCTGTGTGCTGGCCCACACCACTGGATGCTGGAATCATGGTGTGGGGCTGTGTAAAGGCAGTTTGAGCTGCTTGACCATCCCACTGGAGCTTTCTACATGACATCGAGGCTACCTGGAAGAAGTTCTCAACCATCTGCCAGAGGAAAGGTGGCAGAGCAAGCTGAGCACCTGGATCCCAGCACCTTCCTCCTCTGGTTTTGCAAAGTGACTGGAGCGAGGGCTGAGTCAGACCAGACCAGCTCATCATGCCTGCGACACGGACCTGTTGTCCCTCTGCTTCCCGAAAAATGGGGCAAGAGGTTTCGCAACCAATGGAGAGACTTGGTAGACTGCCATGAGTGCTTTGGGATCTCCAGATGGAGTGGCAGGGGAGGGATGAAGTCGAATTAAAGGATTATTTGAAACCCTTATAATCGCAGATCTTAGTGGACCCCCGCCCGTGATACCAGGAGATGGGCTTCCCAAGCCTGAGCTCTCTCCAAAGTTTGCTCACACTATTCCACAACAATCCTACTGTCATTCCCCGCCTTGAACCGGTATCTCAAAATCCTAGAGACACGTCGATCCTTTTGAGTCCAGAGCAGTAACAGAAAGCCCTAGAAACCACATAAACAGGGCTGGTTTGCAACCCATCTGCACTGGGACTGTTCCAAGGAGAAATGCTTGCCTGGCACAGGCACAACACTGACTAAATAACCAGTTTATTTATGGGGAAACTTGTCTGGCACAAAACCTGGAGGAGAACAATCCCAGCAGACTGGGAGCAGCTGCTCAGTGCTGCAAATCATTGCTGTCTTGAGAAGGGGTGAAACAAAGTCTCACTCCTCATCTCCAGGGACTCATTGGAGCAGCCTTTTTGGATGTCAGAGTTGAGTAATTACTAGTAAAAACTGTCCTTCCAGACTGCTTTCCAAGTAAGAATTTCAGAGGGAGCTAAGTGGACAGGCAGTTTAAAACTGAAGAATGACAGGCTTGCAGATGTGCAGCTGATGCACGAGGGGATTGCCCAAATCGATGTGCCCCACTTCAGGAGCTCTACCTGCCCCTCCCACGCCATGAGCCTCTCCCTCCTCCTTGCCAACCAATATTACACGGCAGCTGATGCTGAAAATGGGAAGACAACCAGGTCCCAAGCAGCAATCTGAGAATCTCTGTGTACAGGTTTCCCAAAAAACAGCTGCTCACCTACGTCACCTCCCTCCCACTCACCTGGACCTCCTCAACCTTGGGATGGGTGTGGAGAAACTGCTCAAGTTCTGCTGGGTAGATGTTCTCTCCACCACGAATAATCATGTCCTTGCAGCGGCCTATAATTTTGCAGTAGCCGTGCTCATCCAGGCTCCCGAGGTCCCTGCAATGACACCACTCTCCAAATCCTGTCCCAGCTGGGTGGAAGAATGGCTGATGCTCCCACCCAGTCAGGCTATCCAGAGTGTAAAGGCTGAGGAGGCACCTGAACACACGAAAGAGATCAAAGACTCCCACTCCAGCCACTGGCAGCATCCACACTGCATCAGGGTTTAGGAGGGAGGCAATTCTTGCCCCTGCACTGTAGCCCCACAGTCCCTCCATCCACCAGTGGCCAAGTGATGATCCCCTTCTCCAGGGACACTCAGCACCAAGGGCTCTGTGCTAAAAGCTGTTCTGAAGTGTCACAGATAGATCAGAGGGATAAATTAGGTCAGTTTTCCTTGCTTTGGAAATCCCAGCCAAGCACTCCGATACACACCCATGCATCCCTTTCCAGTGTGGACGGTCTGGGAGGAGTGGGGCTGTTCCCAGACTCACCCTGTCTTGTACCACCTCTCAGCAGTGATCACTTCACTCGTCTTGGCAGGGTCATTCCAGTAGCCCAACATGACGCAGTAGCCGCGGACCTGAAGCTCCCCAGGAGTGTTCAGAGGCACAGACTGCCCTGTTTCTGGATCCTCAATTTTTG